CTTGTAGGAGACATGGAGGTGGGGGTGAGGACTGATTAAAACAGGGAAGGCTGGGCATGATATGAAGCAAAGAATTTTAGATCATACACTCAGGACTTTATCTGGTGTCTAAACCAGAGAGGTGTGGTACCTACCTTATTTGTTACGTCAATAAATTTGACTCCTTTATAGGAGACAGAAAGAATAATAGTAGGGACCTTCTTCATTTGCTCTGTAGACTTCTGAAATTAAAATTAGAAACCTGTTACAGCAGTTTGTGTTGCATGGCAACTAAAGCACATAATTCTTCCTCTTGAAAGATAAAAATGAGATCAAATTAAAACAACACACACACACATCAAGTACACACCACACACACTAATTTAAATGTTTGTTTCTCTTTTCTTGGGCTTAGCTATACTTTGGGCTTATAAAGTATCTGTCTTGCACTTGAAGATCTAAAAAGAGCTTGTTCTGCAGCTTCATGTGGGTGAAGGAGTACTCCTTTTCCAGGACACCAAGAAACCATTCCTTTGACAAGAGTTAAACCACATCAGATTTAACTCCAAGCGTGCATTCAGCGCCGACAAAATATATGCCACCCCCTTTCTCCCAGTCACCCTCGTTCTTCATGGCACAGGGAATGTCTGGATATGTATTTAGAATTGTAAAATACATCAAGGTGAATTTTTCTTTAACCCAGCCAAATTTATAAAATCTGATATTCTATTTACAGCAGAATCACTCGTGACCACATAGGACACAATACTGCTTCTCTATAACAATTAAGCCCCCCAGGAGCAGTCTGTTTTTTGAGCCACTGCAAAATGCTAGACAGTCCAGGTAACCTACTTTATCATTTAGAGCTGCTGTATCCCCTTAGGCTACGTTCTCATGATAGATGTTCACACTGGTTTAATGTGCTTCGAGTTTGCAGCTTCTAATGGTTTTATGTCTTTGCAAAAAGTTTCTCCGTAATTTAGTACGTGCTTTTTCTGTTTAGTTTTATCACTCATCAGCAGTCACCAACAGTCTGTTCACTTCATTTCCCTCTATGTGTACTAACCACCACATTAAACATCAAGAAGAACCTACCTGACAGTTAGCCTGATGAATTTTCCAGATAAGACAGGTGGGAATATAATAGGAGAGAAAACACATAAAAGGTGAGAGTCAGGAAACTATTATAATAATTCACCAACAGCACAAATTCATGAAAAAGTAAAGGATGCCACGACAGGAGAACAGACTCCACCAGTGCATGTAGATACAGTGAAACTGTTATTTCAGAAACTGCTGCAGGCTTTCACGGACCCTGTCTCTACCTCTCTTTCTCTTTTCTCACCATTCTGTTTACTGCCCTGCACAGTCTTAGGACTGACAAGCAAGAACCTTCTGCTTTGAGCTTTCGACAACCAGCTGTCTTACGTATATTAAAGAAATCAGGAAAAAATGTGGCCTTTCTTGATTTCTTCATTTATGTTACCCAATTTGCCATTTTAAAATTCTGAAATGTGACCGGAATGAAAGAAGGCCTTTAATTGGACAGTATGATTGAAACTCGATAATGATAATTATATTGCATCTTTCCCTTGAGCCATGGAAAGGGTGTTTCACATTGTCCTGATTGTTTTGATGCAAAATCGTTTTGAGAGCTACTATACCTGTTTCAAAGACAAAGAAAAGGGATTGTCATTATTTAATATTTATTGTTTTATGTAGTATATAAAAAAGCAGCTCTCTTGAGGTGCTTTAAAACTAGTTTTAAAATTACCCAGACTTGTCAGTTTTCTTTTGTGATTACCAAAAAGAGATATTATGAAAGTGGAATATAAGGTTAGATACTTTTATCTTTTCAGTGCTTTTGCCAACCATTTCTTAAAAATGTGCAAGACATAGTAGGGTGACTATAGTTAACAATAATTTATTGTATATTCCAAAATTGCTGGAAGAGAAGATTTTAAATGCTCCCAACACAAAGAAATGATAAATGTATGAACTGATGGATATCCCAATTACCCTGATTTGATCATTACACATTGTATACATATATCAAATGACTACATGTACCCCATAAATATGTACAATTATGTATTAGTAAAAATGTGCAAGACAAATCAAAAGCAAGGCTAAAAGAAGTAACATGCAGTGTGGTGATTTTAAGGCAAAGCGGTGGCTGAATTCTTTAAGGAGAGAGAGAGCTAGGGCATTACACACAATAGTTTGGTGGACTGAATGCGTGTGTGAAGAATTCCTTGCAAAGTGTAACAATGAATTTCAATAAATCACCTCGTTATCTCTTGTCTTGAATAGGTTCTACTGGACAGATCTATCTGTAACGTGAAACAATGTATAGCTAACATAAAGATGAAAATACAAACATTTTATTCAGTATCAAGAAAAAACCATTAGTCACTCATTCAGCTGTTAAGTGGTTATTTTTGGCAGCCCACTGGAAAAGCTCAGAGTACTTCAGAGAACGTCAAAGAGACCTCAGCTTGGGTGCAAATGCCAATCTGCTGAAAGTGGCTGCTTGAAGTGCTGTGTTAAGGATTCTGAGCCTGTGCCTGGGCTCAGAGGGAAAGTGGGAATGAAGTGTGCCATGGGAGAAGCACAGCAAGACCCAGCACATGAACCACACGTGACCATCCAGGTGTGAGTCTAGGGGCAACACCAAGGATAAGCCCTTCACACCTAGCCCACTACAAACTTCTCACGGCAGATGCCCCTTGTTCACAACTATGTGCTGAGGCACCCCAGGGTACCACAGTGAACTCATTGGGCACAGCAGGATATTTAAAAGTTTAAAGGAAAATACAGCAGTACATTTGTCTGACATCATACAAATTACTAGCTCAGAAGAGTTCACAATTTCAACATGAGATCATACTACTTTCCTTTCAATTACATCATAGCTATGTGAAGTCCTGTGTTTGGCAGTTGCTGTGAAAAAAAGCAAACACCAATGTGGAACAGAAAATGAGGGCTGCAGTGTTCAAGGACTGAGAAGCTGCACAATGCCTGGTAGACGCGTGCATCCTGTTACCAAGTAATTGTGTTTATTTAAGAATGAAATAATATATTTTCTTTTAATTAATGTTTTTTTAAAAAAATAAATACTAAGTTATTAGGATATAAAACACTTGTTAAGTTGTTAAGTTTGGACTTAATTACTCAAAACAAACTGCTAGGAATTTCTTCTGGCCTGGAGATGCCACGTAAAATTACCAACACATTAAGGATGTAAAGTTTGGAAACCTCTGACAGACCACTGGTTGCTGTTTCCTGACACATGGGGCCTCTTCCCCACAGTGCCCCCTGTGACCCACTTGGGCCTCTCCAAGTTTTCCCATCTGGCTGCAAAACCCCCCTGAAATGCCTGCAATTCACAGACAATCAGAATCCTAAGAAGCCCTCACACACACCTTGAGGAAGGTGATTAGGACAGAGGGAACCCCCCCCACACACACACACAGAGGCCCGGAAGTGGGAAATAACACAGTAAGTTTGGGTAACTGGTGAGAGATGTCGGTGGTACAGTAGGTTTGGAAGGTTGTGACCTACTCTGCCAAGTTAGGACCCACTGGAAGCTTTCAAGTAGGGAATGACCCAACCAGATCTGTGTTGCAGAACATTGTTCTGGTGGTTGTATGAAAGATGGACTGGAACAGCTAACAGCTGGACGTGGGGAGGCAGGAAGCTGTTGTACAAATCCAGGGAAGTGCTCCTGGGCACCTGAGTTGAAGTAGAGGACTGGAGAGCAGAAGGAGGGGCCTCGATGCCCATGTGGAAGAATGGAGAGGATCTGCTGATGGATCTGCCAGGGAAGGTGAAGGAGTGGGACGATGTCGTAAATGGAGAAGACATTGACCGAGATAAGGAGTCCTGGAAAGGAAGATGCTTTTGCTTGTGCTCAGTTTGATAATCAGGTGGAGATGTCCAATAGGAAATGGGAATCAGATCTGGAAGGCCATCCGCAGAGGGGTGGTGAGCAGATGGGAGCAGACAAGGTGCCCAGTGCCTGAACGAGAGGGCTAAGGGCCAGACCTCAGAGGGACATGAATTGCTAAGGTGTGGGGCGGAAACCAGAGCGAGAGAAGGAACCTGAGGTGGATTTGGAAGATGCGCACAGCGCAGGTCACAGAAGCCAAGGATGGGCTGGTTTAGAAGGCAGGCAGTGCCTGATCCCACGAGGACCAAAAAGGCCTAAAAAACTGTGCCTCCCACCGTGGCTGGCACACATAGGACCTGCAAGTTTTATTGGGTTTACTGGATGAAACTCCCGGCTTTAGCAACAAGAAACATTCGTTGATGACTATAAGAGTAGCTTCAGGAAAATGGTGGCAGCTGATGGAGAACTGTGCAGAGTGACAGTGGAAGGGGGCAAAGAGCTGGAACAACGCACAGGCCGGGACACAGGCTCTGAGGCCAGCACAAAGGCATCCGTGGTGATACAAAAATTCCACACCAGATGCTCAGCCAAGCAGAACAAAGAAGAGAAAAGATAAAGGACGGTCATTTCTTTTCTGTCGTGGGTCCCAAGAATCCCTGCTCTCTTAACTGGAGGCAGCACTGGGGTGTCAGTGACGCAGGCTGATTGAACACAAGCCTCCAGAATGGCAGGGTGGGGATGGCCATGAACCCAATCTGGAACCCCAACTGTGCCTCTCCCCCCTTGACAAGAAGATGTGGGATCCATCCTGGCCAGCCACAGAGTTCATAGGGACGGGGGGAAGCCTTCAAGGTAACACTCCTCCGTTATGGCATTTATACTCTCTACAAGAGATGACAATCCAACCTCTTTCTAGGGGATTTTCTGATTGTGTACTTTGACAGAGCTTTCAAAGAGGCCTTTTCATATATAATTTTAATAAAAGAGAAAGGAGGCAAATATACCGAGTCTTCAGGGAGTCTACTCAGGGAGGCAAGAAATCCAATGAGCAGCCACTTCTTTTCACAAAGTCTTTACAGAGAATCGAAATGTGGGCACAGAGCTTCAGTTCAGTCACAGGCAGTCTAAATCCCACTTTCTCCATTCTCCCTTCAGTGTTGTGATCAGTTTTTTCTCCTTCCCAGGGACAGGCCCCTACTCTGAACATCACTGCTCAAGTTACAAAGCATGTGCCCTCAGGCAGCATGGGTTTCTATGACCTATCTGCATGCTTTGCTGGGTGTCTGTGTAATTAACACTCCCATGTGTTTACGTGAAAAAGTCAAGCCTTATTTATTTGTATAAACAGAATTCTTTTCTCAGGCCCATTGCTCCAGTAAAAGGCTCAGGACAAACCTTATGTTATGGTTCTCTTTTGTTTCTAGTTCCTTTTCCCTATGCCATGATCTTTGTGGAATTTTTGAGGTTCCCCAGAGTCTTCAATTTTCTTCCCCTTTGGTGCCAGCTCTACATACAGGAGAGACTAACTTGTAATGAGGACCTCTGAGTAGTTAGCAGCTGAATACTCAGGGGTAATGCCCCCAATTAACTGAACCTTTACAGCATCTTGCCATCCTGCAAAAAGCATTATAGTGATATTCAACTGTATTTCATTCATAATTTCCCAAGTTAAGGTTATTATAATTTTATTGTTTCCAAAAGAAACAGTGTATAGTTATATAGAGATGTTACATTTCTGAAATCTAAAATAAAGTGCAACCTTGAATCTTAAATTCAAAGGTAGCCTTATATTTAGCACTTGAGTTTATATTGTCTATAATCATTAAACAGAACTGGGATCAAAATTTCATATCTGGATGTGGCCACCTGAAATACTGTTCTTAATAAATAAAAGCAATGAACACTTTCAGAACATTTTAATTTTTTTTCCTTTTTGTCTTTTTTTTTTCATGTCCGGCAACGGGATCACAACCCTCAGTGTCGCGCCCACACCTCGCTCAGCCAGTGAGCGGGAACCAGTCTGTATGTGGGATCCGAACCCTCGGTGGGAGCGCCTCTGCGCTCCCAAGCGGCGCACTGTAGCAGTGTGCCACCGGGCTGGCCCCAGAACATTTTTAAAAAGGACGGCTTTTTGGATTTACCAAGGAAAAGAAATAATGATCTTTCTTCTTTTCCTTTTCAATTATAAATTATAAACTTCTTGATATCAGGTCAG